CCTGTTGTGCTGTTCACAAAACACAGTCCTGAAGTCTCTTCCACAGCTGTCAAAGGCACAGGGGGCAGTTCCCCTCCTCCGAGGCTGGAGAGTCCTGGGCTTCAAGGCTCGCCTCTCCTGGGAACCCCGTCCTTGTTCTTCAGACGATGGCTTCGCCAACCCTTCGGGGCAACGAGATTTAGAGGTCGGCCTTGACTCTCCTCTCGCTCCCCTCTGTCTTTCTCGCTGCTTTCCTGCAGATGTGGGGGAGAAGGGGGGCCAGCTCTCCCTTGGGCAGAAGCAGCGGCTGGCCATCGCCCGGGCCCTGGTCCGCGGCCCCAAAGTCTTGGTGCTGGACGAAGCCACGAGTGCCCTGGACCCAGAGAGTGAAGCCGCAGCGAGTGCGGGGGGGGGGGAGAAGTGGGGAGCTGCAAGAGGATCCTGGTGGGGTTCTTCAGGAGCCCCGCGAGGGCTTAATCTGGTTTTGTGTGTGTGTGTGTGTGTATGTGAGATGCCAGTGCAGGGAAATTAGGTTTATTCGACTGGAAGTGGAGTAATTTCTTCCAAATTTACGTTGGTGGTGAATAGAGTTTAAAATCTAGCTGTCACTCCCTCATGAGAAGTTTAGAGTTCTTACAATCTGTCTCTTAGTTCCTCAGAGGGCTACCTGCTTACGAACAATGAAAACTTTATTTAACAATACCACTGTATGGACAGATAATATGGATCTAAGTGAACTTTGTGCCTATTTCCATAAGAACAGTTTTTTCATACAGATATAAATATATTTATTGATTTCACCAGCCTGAGATACCGCTCCAGTTGTCGACTCTGAGCAGCGGCCAACCCTACCACACAGAAGTAAAATTAAAACAGCAAAAAAACAGTATTACAGGATGAAATAAAATACTTGGTTATATAATATTTCTGTGCCAGTGATGCCCACAGGATTGTGATGCTGACGAGGGAGGTGGAAATGGTGGGGAGCTTCTCCTCTCTGCTAGTTACAGATTATTGATTATAGACAGATTATGGATACAGACTCCCTTCCCTTCCCGTCTCTCTGTCCCCTGCCTCTTTTCTTCCCAAGAAAGAACATTTATCTGGGAAGTAAAAAGAGGCCCCAGATGAGGCAATGGCAAAGCACTTCCATCCTGTTGCCAAGAAAGCTACAGAGAGTCCGGAAAAAGGAGTGAAGAAACAGCTGATGGTAGCACCCAGGGACTTTGGCTAATCTAGAAAAAAGTAAGGCAAAATTGGGCCTGGTTGGAATTTGGAGGGGAGACCAGCAGGAAATCCCAGGGCTGGCTGCCAGATTGATGCGTCACCAGGAGTCGAGCTGACTCTGGGGTCTTTGCCTTTACTCGGTCACTTTTAGTGATGTGAATGGAGGGGCAGCTTATATCGTTTGCCAGACCGCAAAATCTTTGGGGCCAACCCTCTCTGCAGCACAGCTGGCTCTACTGCAGAGCGGGAGAAGCGCCTTTATGTGAAATGGGAGGGACCTTCTCTCCGGTGCTTCTGAGGAACCCACCTGGGATCTCCTCTGGACCATTGCTTCCTTCCCCAGATCCAGCAATCTGTGCGGAGCAGCCAGGCCCGGACGGTGCTGGTGATCGCTCACCGGATGCAGACGGTGGAGAACACGGACAAGATTGTGGTGCTGGAAGGCGGGGAGGTCGTGGAGGAGGGGAGTCACGCTGAGCTGATGGGCCAGAGGGGCCCCTACTACAGGCTGGTGGAAAGGACCCAGGCAGAGTGACTTCTGGAACTACACCGGAGGAGTTGCTCAGCTACAGGATCCGTAGCTCTTATGGATGCTAGATGCAGGATTGGGCAGGGAGGCAGACAACAGAGTCCTCCTGTGGAAAGAGGGTGACCCGAAAGGACAAAGTGGCCTGCCTAGCGGCTCTCAGGCAGCCAAGAGTTGTTGAGTTGCAGCCATTTGCGAGGAGAGGTTGTCTTTCCCATCTGGACATAGTTTTTGTGGTGTCAAGTAGCCATCTGAGCACTGGAAACTCCACTGTAGAAGGTGCAGAATCCTCTTTCAAGCAACTCCTTTGTTTGGTAAATACACAAATACCCCTATTTTTTCCTTTGTTTAAATTTAGCAAGTGAGAACTTTATACAAAACCTGCTTTTTGCCTAAATGTTAAATATTTTAATAATGATTGCAGCAGGTTGGTCTCCTGCTCTTTATTTTGTAAATAAAGTCTCTGTGTGATCACTTTTAGTTCTGTCAGATCTGTATTTGAGTGGTTCCGCAGGATAATTATTACAGATTAATTGTGCCAAATTATATTAAATATAAATATCATCTTCTCTGGTCAGCAATTACACCTTTCTTCAGGAGACAATATACAGGAGCAAACATAATTAAGGGCTATTTAGAAATGCCTTGTCCATGAGTTAAGCAGGAAGCTACTAACTAATGGGGCAAAAGCTACTTTAAAAAAGAGATACGGTACAGAAAACTACTAATTAAAGAGGGAGGCTTTCTTAAGATTTGGCCAGTTCAGCTATCTCTGCTAATTATAAGTCAAAATAATTTGATTTGTTTGTTACTTTTCCCTAAAAATTATTTTGAAAGGTCAAGATGACACAAATTACATGGGAAGGGAAAAGAGCAAGACTAAACAAAAAATCCTGAGGTGAGATGGATTGGTACTGACATGGTGTTGCTGCTAATTTGGGCATCAAGGCTTAATCGGTGGAGTTTTTAACTGTTTTTATGTTCTATGTCACCCAGAGCCATGTTTTTGTGAGATGGGTGGCTATATAAATACGCCACATCAATATAAATAAATAAATAAGTAAATTTAGGATTTGTGGGCTGGATACCAAAGAACAAGAACCCCGAGGCAGATGCCAGGATGGCAGCAAACTATGAAGAAAATTTATTAAGAAATTACACCCACATTTATTCCAAACTCCAGGAAGTCCATCCCCAAAGACTTGGGGGAGCCCAAAAAGTGCAGACGGATTTGGCTCACGAGGCAGCTGGATCTGCAGGGCAAATGTTCTGGCCCTTTTCCCCCCTCCCAGCTCTTTGGACCACTCACCCTGGCTCTGGGAGGATTAGCAAGAGGGCAACTTTTATTTCTATTTATGCTGATTGAGGAGGAAGGGATCACAAGTGAGCACACAGGCGCATGGTGGGGAAAGCACGGTAAGGGGATCGTGCTGGTGCCTGCTGTTTGCCTGGCAGGCTGCCGCTGATTCACACGGGCAAAGGGGATCAACCAAATAAGGTCTCAGAGCTGAGCTCTTAACTTGCAGTTAGCCCTTCCTAGGGAAGCCCTGCGCCCCGGAGAAAAGCTGAGCAGGAGGGGATGGCTTGTCTAAGCAACCTTTCCGCTCTGCAAGGTGGAAAAAGGGGGGGAAAGACAGGTCAGGTACAGGGTCGTGGGTTCTTTCTACATGGTAACCGGTCTGACTGACACAATCTTGAGATTGTGGAGGGGAAAAAAGTCAATATCTATACAGACAGTAGATATCTTCAGAGTCCTCCATGCCCATGGACAGGTAGGGAAAGAAGGGACTGTTGAATGCTGCAGGAAAGGAAATTAAGCATCCAGAGAAAATCTTGAGGTTGTTGGTGTAAAACTGAACAGTGGCGCTGGCTGTGCCAGGCTGAATCTGACAGTTGGAGGCTGTGCACCTCCCAAAAGAGGTAGCTGTGTGATGCATGTCTGAGCCCACACCAAAGATGATGGATTAACTGCCAAGGGGAATAACCAAGCTGACAAGGTGGCAAAGGAGGCAGCAAGGAGGGGGCTGACAGAACCCATCCCCAGGATATGTCCCCTGGTGCCATCCATAGCCCTGGGCCCAGGGGAAGTAAAACCCATCTATAGTGAACAGGAGGAGAAGAGGCATAGAGGGTGGGGAGAAAGCCAAGGGAATTCGGAGGGGTGGTGGGCACTGGGGGAAAAGGTTATTCTGCCCCGAACTGTTCAGTGGAAGTTTTGAGGGATCTCCATCAAGATGCTCACCATGGATCAAATGCAGTAATGGACACCCTGAGGAGGCATTTTATTTGTCCAGGAGCTTATCAGGTTGCAGCCATGATTAAACTTGTACAAGAAACAATCCAAAAGGGGGACGACACCCCCCCACCCCCCCCGGGAGTCCAGAGGGTGGGCACATATCCAGGAAGTCATTGGGAGGTTGACTTTACTGAGTTATCCCGACGAAATGGCTATTGATATATTTTGGTTTGTGTGGATACATTTACTGTATGCGTAGAAGCCTTTCCCTGCCGGACCAACAAGGTCCGGGAGGTGGTAGAGGCCTTGCTAAAAGAGATAATCCCCAGGTTTGGCGTTCCATCACAGGGACTAGGGAGTGACAGTGGGCCACATCTTGTTTCAAAAATAGTGCAGAAGTTGTGCAGCAATTAGGAATTAAACGCAAGTTTCATACAGCTTATCGCCCTGAGAGTAGCAGCAGAGTGGAGAGGGCAGATGAGTGTTTAAAACAGGCTATTGCAAAAATAGCGCAAGAAACCACCCTGCGATGGGCAGAAGCCTTGCCCCCAGCCCTGCTTCACATGAGAATATCCCCATGAAGGGACACCAAGCTATCCCCATTTGAGATCCTGTATGTCCAACAGTTTTTTTTTTTTATCTGCGCTCAGTCGTCTCAAAAGCGTTCCGCGGGCCCCTGAGGAGGAAGAGCTCGATCGAACCTCATCATGGGTAGCGGAGCCGGTGGAAGATCTGAAGCTTATTTTCAGAAAGGTGGCAGAAGTGAATGGGAGGAGCACCAACAGGGAGCCTGCAGGCGAAAGGATGCCATGAAGTTCCTGCACAGCGCCATGTGGTTAAAAATACCAACTATATACATTTCAGCCGACGTTGGTATTGGACCCAAGCTGTAATGATACGGGTGGACAATTGTAATTCTTCTGTATACCTACTAGTGGTTGTAGTCTCCCAAAACATACTTAACTTCTTTGGGCCCCCTTATTACGGCAGCCTTTGCCATGATTCTAGCGGGGCTGGGCTTTGAGCTAAGGGGGCCTGGGAGAAATGTGTAAGTACGTACCTTCCCAGGAGTGCCCAGGCAGGGATTCCTCTCTATCCCTTTGCTGCACCTGATGTAACAATGGAAGGAGAGATCTTGCAGAAATTTAATCCTACTTGAGGGGGCGGGTAATAGCTCCAATGATTTCCTGTGGACTGTGAGAAACAAAGCTGCACAAATAACCCTTCTTGGATTTGGAAAGGCAAAGTTTATTTCCAAGCGTTTGCAAAGGCTGACGCTTCTCAGCTCGCAGGCTGCAAGAAGCACGCCATTAGAGATTTCAGCAAGGTTTTTATGCATCCCTTCACATGTTGCATTGGTCCTGCCTCGTTTTTGCCCTGGGGCAAATTTGAGTTCACAACCTATCCCAGACGCCTAAAACAAATACATTATTTCTTTTTTACAATGATTCCCAAGCCCCTTTTTTCTTGTTCACAGTTTATAATTTTCTTGAGATAAGTGTCAAGGGCCAGGACCATCTGTCTTCACTAAATAACTATCCTTTGTGTGGTTATCTTTTCTTCCTTCCCTGATTCACGCATTCTTACCAACAAAAGGCAACACTTATTTCATTACCTTTCATCCCCATGTCTCGCCTTGGTGTGACCCCTTCCTTTTTGTAAACACATTCAAATTCCAACCCTAATCACTTTAAACCTTAAGTATCAGAAAGCCTTGTATTCCTTACATGGACCATGCCATCTCGGGGGTTGGGAATGTGCAGAGAGGGGAAGGAATGTACCTGGGATCCTAACGCCAAAGAATGCTCTGTGGCTCAGAAGGGAGACAAAAGTGATTTGGGAATTTGGAATTCAAATTACCAAAGTAAATGCATTTACACCTGGAAGGCGAGCAAAAACATCAGACCTCCTCAGAGCGAAAATATCTCTCTCTGGAGAAATGGAGCACAATCAGGAGAAATACAGAAGAATTAAGGGCTAGGCAAGGGGAATTCTGGATTTGTGGACTAGGAGGACCACCAAGTTTATCTGGTGTGGCCAAAGGGCTTCCGAGGCCTTTGTTATCTAGGTGTGTTACGTCCTGGCACGTGGCACCTAGAAGAAGACATTTTCAAGGGAAGGTGGGATCCTTTTAGAATCCATCATTATAGGGTAAAGAGAAACTGGTTTTCACGAGGGTATGATGTAAGCGGGGCAGACATCTTTGGAGGAATATTTCCCTTCTTTGGGGCTGCAGCAGCACTTAGAAAATGTTATTATTAGGAAAGCAAATAGAGGCGAACATGTATAGCTCAGCCTTGAACTGTGGAGTCCTTGGGGTTCTCTGAGCTTGGTTCTTTTCTTGCAAACGTTTCATT